TTGATCAACATAAAAGAAAAAAAGCCTTCAAACAAAATGGTGGTAGCCTAGTTTGTTTAATTTTTTAAGGTGCTTATAGTCCCCATCCATTTGTATCCATTAAGCCTCATAATTAAATATCATGAGAACAAAATAGAATAGATTATTCTTAGTTGTAGTTGATAAAATGATGGTTAGACACTGACTTTATTTTTTACTCCATACAAATATTATGAGAAGTTCTACTTAATAGCCCATGCATCGCATGAATCACTACTAGTTTTAAAATATAGTAAAAGATATTTTTGTTTTATATTTATTTTTATAAATTTATACCACTTTTATATAAATTTAATAATATTTTAATCAAATGAGGTTCAGATTGGATATCTGAATATTTAAGTGAATTGGATTTGCATTTTAGTATATCTTTTGGTAGAACTGTAATGTGGGTCGGGCAGATGGTGGGCCAACATAGCCCAATACGATAGGGCTTGTGCCTAGTACGTACGGCCTATCTGAGTAGCTGGTATAGTAATTTGAGCCTACTGGGCCTAGGCTGTGGAGTGGACCGGGCTTCTAAGGCATGGCCCGGCATACGTGCAACCCGCAACAAATTTATAGTCGTTAGAGGGGTCCCAATGGTTATATTTACTCTTTTTTTTTTTGGTATTTTGACTAAAATACTCCAAACAGTTATAAACGGCTGCTATGGGGTATTTATGTATTTTGGATCATGGGGGAAGAAAATGACTTAAATGCCCCCTAACAGTTATATAACAGCTAGTTTAAAGGTATATTTAAGTTGATAACATTCAACCACTAAAATGATCAAAATACCCCTCCAATAGCCATAAACAACTAATTTTGAAAGGCATTTTGATCAAATTAATTTCCCAATTCCTATAAATACCCATACCCTCCCTCATTCTCACCACAACTCTCATACTCTCTTACATTACATATTCAAATACTCTTGTATTCTATTACTCTCTACAATGGTTGACTCTTCCCAAAATCTTTTTCATTTTTTGATGAAACCCAATCCAGTAATACTAGGTCCTGCTCTGGTAACAGGAGTGAAGTCTGGACTATGTTTGTTATTGTGGGAATCCCTATTAAAGGAAAAAGAGCAATTTGCAAAAAATGCAAACATGATTTCAACTGCCATACTAGTGGTGGAACTAGCCATTTGTATAGGCACATGGCATTTCACCTGAAACATGAAAGAGGAGGAGAGCAACTTGAATGAATGAATGATCAACTCTATTGTATTATTTATTTTTTATATACATTAAATATGGAATGGCATTTTTCCAACTTTTGTCTATTATTCATGTTGATTTTTTGCTATTATATCATTTTTTTATTTTTTTCTTAAAAAAAGTGGAACCTACGCTAGAACCTAGAACTGGAAGCCTGAAAAAGAAAATAAAATAGGCCCAACCCAAGCCTAGCCTGCCTTGGCATGGTTCCTTGAGCTTAACATGGCACGGTCCAGTACGACTGGGAACCAGGCCACGGGGTCATGCCAAGCCTAAATTGGGACGGGGACTGTGTTGCCCAAACACGACCCACCAAGACCTGAGGCCCAGCATAGCACAACACTGATGGCGTTTGAGCCGCCTACGATTCGTGCCATGCGGACCACATTTACAATTGGATATTAATTGAACCCAATTGGATATCTTTGATTTTATTAGATCGGATTCAGATAATACCCCTATCTAAATTATATCCAATTCTTTTGCAGCCCTAAAAATGTTGTGGATCGAATTCCACCATGCATGAATTCACCTGTAGTTCATGTGCTCCACCATGCATGAATTCACGCATGTAAGGAACCATTTCTGTCCAAATAGTCATCATTGTATAGTGCATGGAATTCACTGTTCACAGCTTGCGAGGAGGGTAAGAGGGTTTTCAAGGTTCATTTGTTTGTTGCGGAAGAAAGAAACATGTTGTTAGTTTTGGATAGGGCTGTTCATAAGAATGTTCAATTCGACTAAATCGATCAACTTGAGTCGGTCGGATTTTCATTCGTATTGGTCAGTTTTGGGTTGGGCACATACATAAACCAAAATCTTGGGTCGTTTCGGTTTTTTTGCGTAAAAACCAAAATCAACCCGATCCGAACCGAACTAGTATTCTACTAGTTTGGTAGTTCCTACTTCCTAGTTTGAGTAGTTTCCTAATTCCTACTAATCTTTTACTTTTAGACTTCTATTAGAACTAGAACTCTAGAAGGGTCATTAGGCAATTACAATTAGAATTCAATTAGGTGTCATTTTTTAGTTTTTTACCTATATTAGAATTTAGAAGGTTTCTAAATTTTTATTTTATTGATTTACCTACCTAGATTTACCTAGTTTTTTACTCTATAAGGCCCATTATTGACACTTGTTTTTACATGAAGAATTTATTNTTACCTAGTTTTTTACTCTATAAGGCCCATTATTGACACTTGTTTTTACATGAAGAATTTATTGATTTTATTCTTTACCTGAATTAAATTTAGATTTATCTTRGACTCTYSAATATYAARTYATCAACTAATTCAGATTTTATTTGGCTTTGTACAGGAGCAAAACTGAAACCGATCCAACCCAACTCAAACCAACCAAGTCGGTTTGGCCTGTCAGTGGGTCGATTTCAGTTCCCACCTTAGCTAACCTGACCAGGTCGAATCGGTTGGGAAAATCCCAAAAAACCAACCCGTGAACACCCATAATTTTGGAACTCGATCATAGATTTAAATAAAATTGAATTAATATTTAGAATCCACAGCCCTTAATCGGAGACTCCATTACTTTTCATTCAAGTTTGGATCTCCTACGCATACATGAGTGGGGGATGTTCCCAATATACAAATATATTGTCATATGGGTAAGATTGGATGATTCTCATTGGACAGGATTAGTGATTTACCAATCTACAAATGTGTGAGCAGATGCCTGAATCGTTTTCATCAATGTGACTGGCTGATGCATGTATGATTTTCATTGGACAGAATTAGCGATTTGCTTAGTCAAGGTACTAGGCTACTAGCAGACGTGAATTCCATAGAGAGAGTCACATCTCCCCTGCAGAATGCGCCCAAAAACGTCTTACAGCACATTTCAATCATATATTAGAAACATCTCCAAATGAAAAATAAAAAGATATTCTCAATATACGCTCAGATGTACATGCGAAGCGTTTTTGGGGCACGTTTTATGACGGGGAGATCAGAGATGTGAACTCTCCATAGGGTTAGGGTAAGAAGAAGATGGATTCAATTTGCCATCACTGTATGCGCACACGATGTTTGTGGTCATACGGGAGCATCCATCACCATCCACGAGGAATATACGAAGCAACTGGACGGTGGACCCCATTCACATTATTCTTCATGGACGGTGATAGCTACAGCTATACCCCACTCCACCACATGAGTATGTATGTAACTATGTATGACCACCTTCTCCCTCTTAATAATTTCATTAACATTATTTTATTTTTCGCTTCGTGGAAGGTGGAACAAAGCAAACAAGGCAACGCAACAACGATGCATGCTTCCGATAACCTTTCTTTTAATAGACTTTTAGACTTTAAGTTGGGGAATTGATGTTACACCCATCACTGTTTGCTTCTTCTAGCTTCTAACTTGTTTCCCTCATCATCTCTTCAGACTCTGGACCACATTCCAGCTAGCATGCATCTGGGGACCAGACTGGCAGACTCCATATCAACTACTTAACTACTAAATGGGATTGACGGAGTTTCTAAGCCCTTAGATTGGTGTCCATTCAATATAAGATCGCCCCTCCTGATTTGATGCCAATCCAGTGTTTTAGATTGAATGCGTACACGTATTAATATCAATAGTTTAGTTTGACGGAATTTATGTCGGCAAGTTGCACCCAAATGGTACTGGTACCACTACCACCGTGGATGGACAAGACAGCAGTGCACACATGACTCACGAGATATTTGACCATAACTCAGTTTCAGTACGTACTTTATGTAGAGTGTAGACTGTACAGTATAACCGTCAAGTCGTTAACCAATTAACCAAACACGATTTGCTCCTTGTCAAATTAGGGTAACGCTTTGACCACGTGTTCTTTTATTATATTAAATCACTAATAGACTATATGTAATTCGCTCATGGTTTTACTGTATAACCTCATCGTACACCGCACATCTCAATGGCGGACGTATAATTTAGAAGATAGAAATAGAACAGCCTTGACTCACCGAGTTAACTCGTCACGGTATCGATTTTCAACTAGGTCAATGTATCATGTATGTAGAGGGAGAGAAGCCCAACGTTCAGGTCTGATTGATCGAGTAAACCAAACAATCTTTTTTTTTTGGTTTCTAACATATAAAGGCAATTTTTAAGGTTTAATATTAATAAAAATAGTATTTTTAAAAAAAATTAGAAATAGATTAACTTTTTAAAAATAATAAAATAAAGAACAAAAATACTGTTTATCTTCTTATTTTTGTCATTTATTCATCAGAACCGCCGCCCACCGCCGCCTTCGTCCACCTTCGCCTCCGCTTTCGTCCACTTTTCTGTTCAACGCCGCTATTTCTGTCCACCTCCGCTTCCGCCTCCGGCAACGCGATCAGACATGGGTAGAGATAAAAGTGGCGGTGGCGGCGGATAGAGGAATAACCACCAGCGTCGCCGCCGCTACCTCTACCTCCGGCCACCTCCGACAACGTTGCCGGAGGCGGCGGGCGGCAGCGGAGCGGCGGTGACGAGTGATGACGAGCGACGGGGGATGGCGGTCCAGGTGAATAAATAACAAGAAGAAGACGATGAACAGTATTTTTATTTTTTGATAATATTATTTTTAAAAAGTTCTTATTTTTTAAATTTTTTAAATATATTATATTTATTAATATTAAATTCCAAAAGTTACCCTTATATGCTATTACCCCTTTTTTTCTCTCTTTTTTCGGAACTTTCTTTTCCACTCAATCAATCAATCTGTCAATTCTTTTGTATCTAAACACCCCACGTCGCGTGCCTAAACACCATCCACCACCGGAATCCAGTTGGTAATTCACACCATAATTGATCCGCCACCTCTTTTTAGGTCTTCTTCACCTCGCCATCTGCTCTAAAGTGGTCAGATTTCTGCTTCTTTCCTTCGGTATTTATTTTTCTTTCTATCCACTCCCTGGAATTCGTTCTCACAGATTTCTCTCCTTTTCTCAAAGAGCTTTGCTTCTCTTAGTCCCTTGTCGACGACCTTTTGCTCGAAATTCCATATTTCTTGCGGCCTGATGTGTTAATTGTAATTGATTACTCCTTACTTTCTCTCTCGGGAAAATTTTGCAGTCCCACTCGAACAATTACCCGCGATTTCGGTATCCTGTTTTGCTCATCCGGTTTTTATCTAATTTGGATTGGTTGTTCATAGACTAGCATGTGCTGAATGAGATTTGACAGTTTGTTCGAATTCTAGGAAGGCCGCTGCATAACCATTCAGTTTGGATTTTGTTGCCATCTTCTCATTCGTGTAGTGCTCTAACACTATGAATTGATTAAACAAACAGTTGAGAATCTAACAGGGGCCTGACACTTCAATTAGATTGATAGATAGTACTTGCATGGATAGATAGAGAATCATGGCGACCGAAGGCCGGCCTTTGTCTTCTGCTTCTTGGGATTGCGGTGGAGAATTGCAGTTCTATGGCTAATTGGGAGTTGTCGACCGATTGATCATTTAGTTTAACGGTTGAGAATCTTCACCGGAAGATACTGCGGAATTGTTAACATGCTTCCAGAAACTGATAGGTCCAAGGAATTGCTCAAACTTCCATATTTGGCCCAATTCGCCTCTGATAATTTTTCGAAGAAAAGAGAGGAGGAGGAGGAGGAGGAGGAAGAAGAAGAAGAAGAAGAAGAAGAAGAAGAAGAAGAAGAAGAAGAAGAAGAAGCAGTTATGAAGATCAGATCCAGCGGAGGAGGTTATGATTGTTCCAAACGCTGCAGCCGCGAAGGATCATATGATTCTTCTCTTATCCCTGGTCTACACGATGACATTGCTCTGACCTGCCTTGCTCGAACACGCCAATCAGATCATGCTTCACTGGCCTGCCTTAACAGGAGGTTTAGGTCACTGATGTCAAGCGGCTACCTGTATGGATTAAGAAAGCAGTTGGGCATCATTGAACATCGTGTCTACGTCGTCTGTGACCCCAGAGGGTGGGAGGCTTTCGACCCTATGAGAAAGAAATGGATGAGATTGCCAAAGATCCCTTGCGATGATTGCTTCAATCACGCGGATAAGGAATCGTTGGCTGTGGGCAGCGAATTATTAGTTTTCGGCCGAGAATTGTTGGATTTTGCCACTTGGAAGTACAATTTGGTTAGTCGGAATTGGATCAAGTGCCAGGGTATGAACCTCCCTCGATGCTTGTTTGGTTCTGGTAGTTATGGTTCGATTGCCATTGTTGCAGGGGGCAGCGATAAGCATGGAACTGTCTTGAAATCTGCTGAACTTTATGATTTGGAGTCGGGTAGATGGGATCTGTTGCCAAATATGATTTCTCCCCGCAAGCTCTGTTCTGGTTTTTTCATGGATGGAAAATTCTACGTGATTGGTGGGATCTCGAGTCCCAATGTGGTATTGACCTGCGGGGAGGAGTTCAATCTTCAGACAAGGAAGTGGAGGAAAATCGAGGGGATGTACCCAAATGTCATTAATGCATCTCAGGCGCCTCCACTTGTAGCTGTTGTGAATAACCAACTCTATGCAGTCGAGCACTCCACCAACATGGTGAAGAAGTATGACAAGGAGAAGAACACTTGGTCTGTGTTGGGACGGCTCCCTCTTAGAGTTGATTCTTCTAATGGCTGGGGCCTGGCTTTCAAGGCCTATGGAGATGAACTGCTGGTTGTAGGAGGTCAGAGGAGCCGAGAAGGCGAGGGAATTTTGTTGAGCTCTTGGTCTCCAATGTTGGGTCTCAAAAATGGGATTTTGAACTGGAAGGTGCTTGATGTAAAGGAGCATGTTGGTTTATTCGTTTATAACTGTGCTGTCATGGGCTGTTGAATCTTTTTCTTCATTCTTCCCAACTGAAGAAATGAACATCTTCAATCTAGCAGATCCTTGTTGCTGTTCCACCCTTTCTCATTGACCAGAATAACTGACTGTTTAAACAGTCTCCCCTGAGTTGAACATTTTCTCTTCTTTTCCTGTAACAATTTCTATATTTGGATATGGTGCTCGATGCCCAATTCAGCATTCTTTTGCTTTACAAGAGACCACTACCAAGTACTGATTCTCTGGTAATGTCCTAATTCTGCCTTTGCTCTTTTTTTTTCTATCCAAACCCAATACTCTGTATTAAAAAAAAAAAACATGAAAATCAACAATATTGTTTTATCGATATGATGTTTGTTAATGTTGCATGTTTGTGTTTTGAAAAGCATCTAATGCTATTACGCTTTTATCTTTTATAAAGCAGTTTGTTGTTTTAATATCTAATGCAATTTTTCTTTCCAACTTTCCAAGCATGGAAATGGTGTTTTTTTTTACTGTTACTTTTTCTTTTATTATTTTTAGCCATAATTCCATGACATCTACAAGAGAGTTCCTAGTGAATATTAATCAACATTTATTGTCGCACTCATATGACTGACTTACCAATTGTTTAAAGGAAAATTTAACTTCGACTCGGTCAACACAGATATGGCTAGCTCAAAACTCGTTTTCGTACTCACTCAAAGTTTTGAATTTGAAATCTTTACACTGTAGTTGGTTCTTCATTCTTTTAGGTCATGAATAGAGTTATTATGGTCCCGGCCGGTACTGAGTTGTTATCTACCTCACTTAGCTGAAATTCCAATACTGAGGCCAAATTTTCAAATGCCAGTCAATGATCACTTACCAAATTTGTATTAGGAATGCCACTTTTTATAATGCCAACCTTCTCTTATCTTGCTTGTTACCCACTTACCCCCTGAAATTTTTGAGTTCCTCCCCACTTTCCCCTGTTTTCCCTTTCATCGTGCTTGACTTCTGGCCTAATGACATGGATGAAGATAGTAAGAAATGATTTAAGCGTTCATAATTTAAATTTGATACGGCATTAAACAGAACAGAATAATAAAATGGAAATTCATGCAACCAACCCCATATAGTTTGGATAAGGGTTTAGATGAAGATGATAATGATGATGTGACTTCTGGCCTAATGAAGTTGATGGGCAAGAGTCGCCTCTTTCACTTTGATCAGGTAAAACCAAGAATAACCTTACATCCTCAAAGCTGAAATTCAAAGTACTATCAACCTAGATTATCGTCCTCCGTATATCAGAAAAATGCACAATGCACAGTTTCCTTCCCCTCAAGATCTTTGTTTTGAGAAATAAAATAAAATATTGATTTGGGGCTGAGAGGTTAACGATGGTTTTGTACATTGTCCCATTCTGTTATCACACAGGATCAATTAATGACCAAATGTGTAGCCTTACAGTTGCTGGCCTCTTATTCAACCTACAGTGTACAGCAGAACCAGACTCAACAGCAAGGTCCAAGCAGTTCCACGATACGCCTTTTTTTCTAAGGATTTTTCAAAACTCTTTTTTTTTAATATGTAAAATGAGATTAAAATGAGATTAAAATGAGCCTTTGTGAAAAAATTAAAAGGGAAAGATTTTCATAAAGCTGAGACACCTGGTACACATGTTCGTGTCTGGGTGTATCAATATTTTTAACCATGCTGAGCAGCAACGATTGAAAGAAGATTTAAGGAGACATAGATTTATTATTGATCCATTAAAAGTTTATATTGTATTTAATTACAGACTAGATTATGGGCCTGGCCTCTCAATTGATATGGTATGTTGGTTTTCTCCCAGACTATGACAAAGAAAAAATAGTTGTTTGAAAGAATATACGTTTCTTTAAACCATCCATGAATTTTGAAAAATAACATCTAATTGATTAATTGACTGGTCAGACTTTTTTCCAATATCATAGTCGAGCTCCATTTCATGAGGGGATTGTACTTTTTAACGGGAATGCAAAGAAAGATGGTCTACATGTTCTTGGTGAGAACCCAACAGCCAACATTTTCACTTGTTGGAGCCAGTTGTAATATTGCCTATATGTTATAGCCGTGAAACAGTGTTCAGAGGTTTCTGCTTCCCTAATTAAGGCTGTCAATGGGTCGGGCCCGACCTTATAGACCCGAACCGATTGAATCGGAACCAACGGGTCAGTTCAGGTTCTGATATAGTGTTTCGCTTATTATTGATTCAGTATCGGTTTCATCCAGTCCCGAACTGATTCAGACCCAAGCCCGAGTTATATACATATAATATATAATGTATAATATATTAAATAAAGTATATATAAAACATACATATAATATATATACAATATTAAATATATATTTATTTATTTATTATAACTGGTCCATCAGATTAGACTTGATTGTCCCAAGAACTGTTTGGTTCAGTTCTAGGTCTAAACATTACAAACCCTATTAGGTCCTGTTTGGTTCCAGTTCTAACCAGTCCCAACCCAAACCCGACTCAATGACAGCCCTACGCCAAACCCATAACCCCTTCCAAACCTAGGTATAGGCAAGATTCGATCCCAAGTCTCTTCTACAACCAATAGGCCTTACCGGCTGGCACCTTGCAGAGATTTTTGCTTTGGGCACAAGAAGCATCGTCTTGCTAACCTCTTTAATTCAATTTTTTCCCTTATTATATAATACTACGTTTCTCCCCCATTTCCATTTCCACACATAATGCTGAGCAAAGGTTTATTGTTTTTTTTACCTCCTTAAAATAGGCAACCTTAGAGACATTGCCTAACCATCCGCATGAATAACTTACTTGCAACACATGACATAGGTGCCACCATGCCAGTCGATCTGCAATTAGAAGTATGAAATCTGAACTCCCATGAAGTCTGCTAAGATTTTATTGCATAAGCATTCTTTGATTGGAGTGGCTACAATGTTTTCAACCCACCACTGACTTGGCTGGTTGAAACGTTTAATTTGAACCATTATCCGGTCATGATTTTAATCTGGTTGTACTAAAATCTAGAAATTGGTCAAAACTGTTGATTAGGTCAAAAACCATCTGATTCAGGCAGTTGGATCATCAACCCCTTTGACTCGGTGATCGGGTCAAGGGTTACACACTAAATATGTATACAAACTTCTACATGTCATAATTTTGTGCTCTGATGCTCGATTGGGATGACCTTTTTTTTCGGTAATTTTTCAAGATCTATGCGTCCAATAGGCACCTTGTTCTATTGATTTTACCAAAAAAAAACCTTTTTGGCCTCAAATCACAATTTTTAATATTTTTATAAATAAACGTTATAAATTGAATTAGAAAATATAAAATAAAAATATAATACATATAGATTAGTGATAAAATATGTGTTTATTAAATAAATAAATATCTAAATTGATTTTTAAAAACTAGTAACTACTACAATTTCGTCTATTTGGGCATCGGTGGTGCATATCAATATGCCTAATACTTTTTTGTTGTTTTTTAACTTTATAAGTATTATAGGGTTGGAATAGAGTATTCCAAAGTTTAAAATATTGGAAAATAGTTGTGTATTAGTGTACCTATGCATATGTGGATGCACTTTTGGTCCTGTTTGGCATTGTTCCATGGGAGTGTTCTTCGCGCTCCTGATGTTCTCACGGAACAGAAACACATTTGGCGTCACATTTTAGGTGGAAAGGGGTTCTTTTGGAGTGGGAATGGCATGTTTTTTTTTTGGAGTGACCAGGATGTTACTCTATAGGAGCGAGAAACTTGGGAACACGCAGTTCCCACATCATCTTCTTAAATTTGCGAATACATGTATTATATTTTGCAGGTTCTTAACTTTGCAAGTTCGAACATAAGAAAGCCCTAGTTGAAATCGAGTAGGGTTTCTTCCTTCTTTCTAACGCCGTAGACTCCCAAGCTTTCTCTCGCAAAGCTTCCATTAGTTCACCTAGGTTTTTTTTTGCAGTCGTTCCTTCAGGTTTTTCCGCCGCACAGATAAGAGCCCATCACTTCTTGTAATCATTTCTTCATGTTTAAATAATGTTCATGCTATTATGAGTATTCATCAGTTATTACTTTGTTATTTATTTGTGTTGTTTTGATCCACAAGTAGTCAACGATTATCAAATGATGGACAATGGAAGACCATTTATGTGCGGTCCTTTTTTATTACTTTTATGTTTGAGGACTTGTAACAATGCTTTGTTTGTGTATGGATTTGAAAAACTATCTCAAGATTCAATAACGTGTTGTTTTTGCTTCTTTTGAATAGAAACTTGCTTTTCAAGTACAAAACACTATTGTTATTCCTTGGGAACCAGAAATTCCATTCCTGTTATCGAACAGGAATTTATCCAGGAACAGGATTAGGCAAGAACAATGCCAAATGGGACCTTCCTTGCTTTTTGAGTACTATAAGGTTGTTCTTGTCCTTATCAGAGTTTAAAATATGAAATGAGTGAATGGAACACTTTTTTTTTCTTTTGACAAAAAAAGTGAATGAAACACTTGGCTCAGTTTGGTAAGAGTACAAATACAAATATGTACAATATAAATACATATAAAATAATACAAATATATACAATACAAGTACATATAAAATAATACAAAATACAAGGTTTTATATTGTACATATTTGTATTTATATTCTTTCCAAACTAAGCCTTAATGCTTTAATTAATTGTTAATCAGAACAAAATTTTACATAAAATAGCCAATGAAAGGTATAAATAAACACACAAAAAAAAGGTATATAACCATTTGTCCTATTAGTTGGTTTTAAGACACAAGTAAACACAACAATTTGTAAGGTGCTTAGCTATAGAAAGAGGAATGCAGTTTTGAAATGATACCACCTTGGTTGAGTCTTTAGATATCTTCTTTATTCTACCATGCATCCGACACAATTCTTTATTATATTTAAAACTAGTAGAATGGCTCGTGCGGTGCATGAGGTATAGAACCTACCAACTTGGGTGTTGCCACTTGATTGATTTTTGACTACTCCAGTCAACATCAATTTGTTTGATTATTGAAGGTTTGACCCAAAATGAAATCAAATTTCAATTTCGTTAATCCTAATTGAGCAGGACTGGAAAGGTTAAGAAAACAAAACTGACTTAAAACATAATTAATAATTTCACTTGATATATAACATAAGTGTGCATATATAAAAGTATACAAAAAGTATAAACAGTTACTGTAATTGATGCATTTGTATTTAGTTTGTGACTTTAGTTGTATATGCATAAGGAGGCAAATAAATTAACAAAAGCTTAACGAGCTACC